GAGAACTTCGTACTGGGACGATTTTAACGCATCCTTAGTGTTCGAGGTTTGATGTGAAGAAGCCGTGCCATGGAAGCACGGTGCTCTGCCACTGAAAGACGGCCGTCCTACGACAGATGTCCGCTGTCGCGGTCTGACGCGAAAATTGGATGATGGCTCACGCCTGACAAATTCACGTTCACCTGCGTTGAAGGGGATGGGGACCATGGAGTGATTGCTGCGCGAGCGTGAGCTGGTGAGTGATCGCGCTGCTTTATTCTTTCCTCACAGCTCGGCAGGAAGGAAAATAGCGCGTACTTAAATGTGTGACCGATGTGTGACGCGTCGGCTGATCAACCGCGCTCTGTGTGACTAAGCGACCGTCTGGGGACGGGATCGCGGTCCTTTTCAAGTTTGGTGCAATTCGCAGGACGCTTTGGGCGGTGACAGTTTGCTCTTTCTGATGATGGGGTCAAAGCCTATTTACAAGTAAGGCTCGACAGAAAGGACTTAGATACGCACAGGTCTTCGGGTGGCAGCGATGCTTCGAATGAGGCGCTGTGGGCGGGTATCGTTTAATGAGTCCAAACCACCACCACGGCGACTGCTCCTCCACCAACATTCACCGGTCATGACAGTGGTGGGAGCAGCCGCACACTGACGCTGGGTCTCAGGGTCTGACAGTGAGGGAGGGAGGGGGGGGGGCTGAGACACGCTGCCTGAGGCGCAGGTGTGCATGGCTGAGGTTAGCGTGACACCGACAGACTGTACTTGGAAGCAGCCTCCAGCGCAGGCTAGGCCAGGCTGTGGCTGGCCCAGCAGGCGGGGAGTCGGAATGTTAATGGGTCGGCTCCCGGAGTAAAACAGAGTTCAAATCGTGACGCTCTCACCTTGGATGGTGTGCCCTACCTCACGACGTGGTATTCGTCAGACGTGAGGAGATGGGTTTTGTGGCCCGACGGTGTGGCCCTCGTGAGGTTATGGGCTTTGATGCCCGACGGTGTGGCCCTCGTGAGGTTATGGGCTTTGATGCCCGACGGCGTGGCCCTCGTGAGGTTATGGGCCTTGATGCCCAACGGTGTGGCGCTCTTGGGTTTTAGTTCCATTGGTACCGGCGATAAAGTGCCTGTTCCGAGACCTCTGAGGGTCAGTCTGCAGTGGAATGAGGAGTGCTTTCCCGAAGGCCAGGCTGCCTTCTGCGGGCGGCAGCAGTGATTGTGGTCATTAGCTGTTGGAAAGATGTTGTTTGGGTGGCATTGCGCGCATTTGGAGACGCGTGTCCAAAAGTGTGCAACAGTCCGTTAGAAAGTGATGCGAGCTTTCAGGCCAAGGTCATTGAAAATACTGAACACTTTTGATGAAAACCCCTTTCTGCGAGAACTAGAATGGCCGACATGCGACTGAACAAATTTTGGCCACTTTAATACACAGAATGCATCGTGATCTAGCTCCATTCATTCGAAAATTGCTCTCAAATGATTAACTTCAGATTGTTATGCTGTCTTTCGTAGGTAGGATGATATTTCCCGGACGCAGTGGGTGAAAATTTTAAGTTTGGAATGCAATGGTTCGTTTCTTGAAAGTTGGATGGTTTAAGGTTTTGCCTGTTTGGCAATGTCCGTCAAAGCAATCGAAGAACTTATACCGATTACCGGTTTAGGTTATGTGGTCAAACTAAGACAAAAGATGAATATGTGTTTATCGGGTAATCGCCACAGTTGACTGAACCATACGCCTCCCTCATTTAACTGAACTGAACTGAAGTAACCTCCCTCATTTGAGGTCGCAGCGCATTGTGTTCTAGACCGGTTTCGCAGTGTGCGACTTTGGCCACTTACCGGCCGATTGTCGGCGAACCCATGGGCCGAACCTGGTAGACATCAGGCAGTGATTCATAGGTGGTGCACTTTCCAATACAGTGTACATCTTGTTTCGCATCACACCACCTTGTTTTTGTTTTCTTGGTTTCTTCGTTTTGGTTTTACATCTTACTGTCTGCTTTGGTTGTAGAGAGCTGGTGCCAGCCATCAGAGACGCCCCTGGATGAGCGGATCCATGGTTAGCAGTCGATTGCGCGTGGTGGACTGCACAAGTTGATTCGCACTCTTGTCGTCATTGTATTGGTCTCCCCTCCGTCAAGTAGCGCTGCTTCGTGTCGCTGCAACACTGCAGCTCGTCGAAATCTAGATAAGATTTCAACCGTTAGTAGAATGGAGAAAGCTGTATTTTGTGGCCTATGGCAACGCATGAGGGAAAATCTCTCCTGATCTGGTAGATTGCATGCAGCTGTCTTCAAATGTAGACAGCACGACTTAACAACGATGCGCCTCGTGACGCTGCAAACGGCACGACTCTAATGTTAATATTTGGGAAGATATCAGTGTACAGGTGGAGTGGCGTCCGGGCTGAGTTAGCCTGGCTCGTGCAAATTTTAATTGCTCATCATTGTTGAAGCTGGACTTGCGCGAGTGACACCGCACTCACGCGCACTCGCTTAGTGTGTGGCATCGCTCCTAACGGCCAAAGTAAGTCACAACTTTGACGATCTGTGTTGACAACCACCAGTGTTGAGACAAAAGGGGCTTTGGTTTCCATTGTTGTTTGCGTTTGGCCAGCTTGTCGATACGCGCCGCGTGATGAAAAGTAGCTGGCTTGACGAACCACACGGGAGCCAGGCAAAGATTCCGCAGTGATCACCAAAAGTATCGCCGGACAATTTGATGCCTCGCGCTGTCCCGTTTACTAATGACAGCCGTATGCCGCGGAAGGGCACACAAAAGCGGCCGGACCATCGCTCTGCGCGCGGACCGTGACTGGTGTGTGTTCGCTCGGGCGACCCGGCGCCACCAGACCTGAATCGGACCGTGCCTTTCCGGTCAGATGACCGGCGGCTGCGGAAGCGGCCCATTCGGCCCGCAGCCGCCGCCGCCGCCGGCTGTGATTACACCCACGTCGAGCGGCCGCTTAGTGCTGGGCTAGGTGGCGGTGTGCTGCGTTAGTGGTCGGCGTTAAGTGCTCATGCCACTCAGTGTTGGGGGTAGCACCAAGTGCCTGCTGTTATATTGATGGCCTAGGATGTTGCGTTTCTTGGAGACTGAATACTGGCTTCGCCAGGCACTTCCGCTCTTGATTCGAGTGACCTTGTTCTGCTCGTCACTCTCCAATGACGAGTACCCCCACAGACCATCACATATCTTAAAAAGCAGCCAGAGCCAGGCGAAAAACGGCATCGGATAGCTCGCGTAGCACTGCATCGGATAGCTCGCGTCATACTGCAATCGGCCAGCCCGCGTAACGCTGCATCAGACTGATGGCATTTGACACGAGTGCAAGTGACGTTTGATGTGGCAAATCAAAGCCGGCAACAGGATAACGCAGATTGGCATTTGACATTAGTATAAATGGCGTTTTAGGCAATATATATATATATATATATATATATATATATATATATATATATATATATAGTAAACCAAGCAACAGGATAACATAGATATATTTTGACCTAGCCTGGCCTTGGGTGATCTGATCCCTAAATTGCAGTCTATTGAATCGAACCACATATTGTTAGCATTTGTTCAGAACGGGCAAATACAAACGCCACAGCGCCCTTTAATGTGTATGGCAGATTCTGCATGAAACCTCCGTCATCTATTTCCCGCCTGTGAGCCTGACCGGCGTGGCCTAGTCAAAAAGGTCATCACGTGTACATTTGACAGTCTCACGTCAAGTGACACCAATGTACTGTCAGGAAAGTTGCGGGGCTCTGAGGCCTTTAGCACGGTCCAGTCACCTTAGTTCAGTGATCTGGGTGAATCACACTTGTGCCACACACTGTTAGCCAAAATTGCGTGCACGCGACCTCTGTGGTAGCCGCATTAGCCAGCCGAAAAGCCTGTGCGCGGGCGCTCCTGTACAGGCACCGTCACGCTGGGCGGATACGATCATAGCGCAGCAGCCATGCCGCAGAACGCTGGGACGGTGCTCCACGCGTTCGGCGCTGCTTCCGTCGGATTTGTGACGCACGTTCGCCTGCCGCCCCCCGGTGACGCCGACAGCTGTGCAGTGCTACAGCTGACAGCTCGGCTGGCGGGCAGACTTGTGTAACTTTGCTGGCGGGTGGACTTGTGTGACTTGACCAACGGTTAGAATTAACGGGTAGAATTGCGCGACTTGGCTAACGGGTAGATGTGTGTGACTTGGCTGGTAGTTAGGCTTATATGACTTGGCTGGCGGGTAAACTTGTGTAAATCGGCTGGAGGGTAGATTTATGTAAATCGACTGGTGGGTAGGCTTGTACCACTTGGCTAGCTGGTAGACTTGTTGCGCGACTTGGCTACCGGGTAGCATCATTGTGTAATTCGACTTGCGGGTAGAGTTGCAGTATAACCTGGGTATCGAGCAGACGTGTCGCACAGTTCGGCTGTCTGGCTGATGTGTTGGACAGCTCGGCTGTTGGACGGACGTATCGCACAGCTCGGCTGTCGGGCTGATGTGTTGGACAGCTCGGCTGTCTGGCTGATGTGTCGTACAGCTCGGTTGTCTGGCTGATGTGTTGGACAGCTCGGCTGTTGGACGGACGTATCGCACAGCATGGCTGTCGGGCGGACGGTGGGGGGGGGGGGGGGGCAGACCGACAGTCAGTTGCTGGGCTGTCGTGAAATTCGGCTTGTTTTCACGGAACGCTGGCGTTGCTTCAATGAGCGCAGATGCTGGCCGGTAGTGACCAGTCGGTGGCCTGTTTTTGGACTTGGACGCCAGATGGCCCATCAGGGCCTGATTTTGATGAAGGAATCGGTGTTAAGGTGCTAAACTCAACATATGGTTTACCTAACAACGCCAGCTTACGCTAGGAGTATAGTTCTTCGAGCGGGAATATTGTCACTATCGGCTTGCCTCCATGATTGAAATGCAACGTTTCCAGCCATCTCCGCCTGGGATATCTACGGCGCTGCCATGAATGGCAGTTGCTTGCCAGCTATGTCTGTTTCGTCTTGACCTGTATACGTTTGACCCGGCAGGGCAAGGACAGAGAACCGGTCGTCATGACGACCACGGTGGATGAGGTGGACGCACTGCCCGGCGCCTCGCTGCGGCTAGTGGACGGCCCGTCGCCCTGGGAGGGCCGGGTTCAGGTCTTCCACAAGGACCACTGGCGGTCCGTTTGCACCAACTCCAGAAAGTGAGTTAAGCGCTGCCGGCTGTTAGCCACGCTCGCCTCTCGCCAGCCCACGTCTGCCGCCCTGTCCAACGGCCTCGGTCCTGTAAAGAACTTCAGGAGCTGCGCAAAAACCGGATTATGATTTGCGTCTTGTTTTTGTCGTTCGAAACACGCTATCGCTGCGGCCTGCCCGCTTTGACGCTGGTCACATTCCATGCGTTTGGAGGGATGCCAGTGGCTTGAGCATCAGTTTCTTATGACGTCAGCCTGCTGCCTCTGCTTGGTGACGGGTCCCTTGGTGATGAGTATCCATTGACTTTTGCAATATCTGAAACATTCATTGGTAAACAACCTGGGAACTATGTACACTTTTCCGTCATGCGCACACCAGTATGTCATTAGGCATGCTATCAATGGCTGCTATGGATGCATCTCGTAGTACCGTCATCATGTGGCCTGAACGCATTAATTTCAGATCAAGAGAATACAATTTTTTGTGAAGCCGTCTTCTTATTTGTTAATGCCATTGCTGCTGTTTCGTCACCGGCCCCTTATCCGTTCTAGTGACTCACTCTGGAGCGGGTGGAAGTCGAGGTAATGGGCCTCTGCTCGGCTGTTTACCTGTGGGCTGTTTATGTGTTCCGCCCGTCTGCTCAACTGTCCGCTTGCCTGTCGGTCCGCCTGTCTGCATGCCAGCCCGCCTGCTTAACCGCCCGCCCGCCTGCTCAACTGTCCGCTTGCCTGTCTGTCCACCTGTCTGCATGCCTGCCCGCCTATCCGCCTGTCTGCATGATTTTCCGCCTGCCTGGCTCTGTTTTTAGCGTTCGGTTGGAAATCTCCGCTTTCGCAGCTGGAACTGGAAGACCTTTGGTCGGGGCGATTGTATTGGCCTGGTTTTATATTTGTTATGAAAAAGAGTTTTCGGCAGACCCAGACATCTCCTCTTTCAATTACCAATTCTAGTTTATGGTGGCCGTAGGAACTTATCCGTAACCTGAAATGTGAAGTTGTGCACTTGACGTGGTTGTTGTCGGATACCTTCGCAATGACGCCACATGGAACGGGCCAGCGAATATCTCCAGATCCGTCTGCGCTCCAAAGCCCCCAAATGCCGTCACGGATCATGACGCATGTCCTGCTGTTGCCGCCCATCACGTCATGGAAGCATACCGAGCATGCTCATCATGGCGGCGCAAATCAAACTATTTGGCTGGGCACAAGAGTGCACAAAGGCCTTTCGTGCTGCTCCTGTATCTGTCCGTGAAAGTCCATGTGCATTACACAACACTCAGTACAATCAGTCTTGATGCAGAAAGCATTTTACAACTCATTTTGGTCGTACACATACCGTGACAGCCTGAGAATGGTAGGCCGCATTTTTCTAAAACAGTCGCAATTTGTTGTGACATTTGTTGCAGCTCTGCAGAGAAGCCGAATTTTGACGCCTTTTGAGAAATTGGTGCCTCAAAATTTTGATCATCAAAATTCTGTCCCGGAGGGTTTGGAGTGCAGCTGCAAAAGATAAACGGACATTCTTAATTCATCCTGCATGAAACTAGGTCAAAACAATCATCCTTGATGAGAGAGGCAAACATGAGTATGTCACGCTTCCTTAAGTTGTGGGACGTGAGTTTCAGTCTGGCTGCTCCGGGTCAGCTGACCTTTGTTTGCCCTGGCGTGCTGGTCGGTTCGGCCTGACCTGACGCCGGCCTGGCGTGTACTATTGCCAGAAAACCCAGGGGCGCACCCAGTATTACGGTAGGACCGGGGAAGACAAGCGGCTGGCCTGGAGACTACTAGTAATGACACAAAATCCGTTTGAAAGCATTGTATCGGTGAGTGTTGCCAAGACAAAAGCCAGGCGTGGACGTAACCATGTCCTAAATGTTGCTGAGACCCATTTCTGTTTCGATGCCACTGAAGACGGCCAAACCACAACAGTAATCTGCCTAATTTGCCCAAACGTTGCTGGGACCCGAACCCTTCTGACCGTCGGTGTTGGTTGCGCCCATGCTGCCAGGGTGTTGCGCGGTTTTCACGAGAGTGGTTGTTCGACATCGCCACGAAAACGCCCAAGCCACCGAGCTAGGACTAGGCGCTAATCCCTAAGCATCAACTCACGTCTTGAACCTCTCCGCGATGTGAATCGCTCTAACGCGCCTCCAGCCATTTACCTACCAAGCCGTGACCATCAGTGCCCCGGACCGGAGCCGTTTTATCGCCCGTTGCGGCTGGGAACTGTGTGGCCTGGGGCCGTTCACCCCGTGGTGACCTTCCGCCGCCTCTGACCCCGCCTCCCGGAGGTCAGACGACCCTGCTGCACATGACATCCGGGCCTCCTGTCGGCCATCGGCACGCAGGGTCCAGCTCATTGTCCCACCTCACCTGCGGTGACCAGGCCACCTTTATTCCGCAGATCCGCCACCCTCTCACCCCTGCGCCGCCGCCTGGCTGTGTTTACCGGATGGCTGGCGGCCGCCGAGCGTGTGTTGGCGTCCGGAGGGCACGGGTGTTGACTGGCTTGATCGGTTTGTGCGGAGCTGACGACGCGCCGGCCGTGGGGGCCAGGGGCTGTCAGGGGATCAGACTCAAACGGTTCGGGGGAGGGCCGCTGCACACGCTACCGCGCGACGTTTGTCCCGGCATACGTAGCGACGAAATCAGTTTGTGTAACGGAGCGGGCTTCGCCTCCGGCCATTGTTCTCCGGCTGCGTGGGCCCGCATTCTCAGCGAGCTATGAATGGCACATACCTGTTTTTGAACATTGCGATGCTGCATGCCGGAGTTTCAGGTCTCCGAAGTTTTGCGTTCTCAACTGGATTTGACGCAAGGAGTGGCGATGATAGGGCTTTCTGTCATTTCCACATGCAGGTGTCGCTATATGGCATAAAAAATAAAACGGCATAACTGGCAGTATGTCATCAAAAGTAACAATGCTGGCTGGCGCATGATGCTAGTACTCGGCATAAATAGCGTGTGTTCGTGCGACCCTTAAGTAATCTCTTAATGGGATTGTTCCACATTTGTGTGGGATTTTGAGCTGAAGTGGCCATCCTAAACCTAAAGATTATGAGGTGCAGTCCACAGCTCTGCCCTTCCTAAGACCCAGTCCATCTAGTGTCTGAACTTCACGCCCGCGAAGACTTGCAGACTTCTTCGTGTGCAGACTTTTTCAAGGTCACCTAGGTATCCATGACGCCATAATAATGTTATTCAATTCCTGCTATGTCAGTGACCATGTGGTGATCAAGGCTAATATAAATATTATTGTCGAATCGTTCATATGTTACGTTTGTGAGCGCTATTTCCAGATATGGTATCTGTGCACTGGCTGTCAACCCATGTTCGAGGTACAATTACGCAATCAAACAATGGCGTGTAAAGGAAAATATTTGCTAAATAGATGAATTGTGCTGTCTAGAGCTGTCTTTTCCACTTATAGTAATATCTGCAGTTATGAGTGAGCGCATTTCATTATGTCTGATGTTTACTTCATATTTTCAAATGCGGAACATTCCCTTTAAGACTCGAAGTCGGGAACTAAGGTGCCGTCGAAGTACGGAGACCAGTTCTGGATGTTCGACATTCTCAGAGCGGGGCATGCCGCCCACACCAGTCGAGCTTAGCAAGGGTATGAGATAGTGGTCCGCAGGCCGAGATAGGCTCCTCGCAGGCCAGCAGTATTCCCCTTGAAGGCCACCACAGGCCCGTTTGCAGTTCAGTGGGGTTCTCCTTGCTGTTCAGAAGGGGCTTTTTACAGCAGTGTATTATTGAAAGTACAGAAGGGCTTTTGTTACAAGCCAGCCAGAGCCATTCTTGGGAACCAACAAGGGGCCCGTTGGTCATGGCAACGAAGACCGATTATTGCGCCGCTCCTGAAGGCACCACCGCGCTCAGCCCAGGTCCTGTGGCTGGACAATAAAGCGGATGCTATTGGTGTTGACAGCGTATACATATAATCAGAAAGCGTAATGAAAGGTCAGGCGAGGGGCAGACAGGAGTGCGGGAAAAACTGAGTCATTTCTTGGCGGATTTAGCAGGGAATGGTTTGGTAAAGGGACCTTAAATGTCGTGTACGTATGATCGAATGGTTGGATTTAAGGCAAACAGCGTTATGTATGTTATTTATTTTGATGTGTGTGGATGTGTATGTTATATCGGGGAGACAGGGGGACTTAATACACCCGTGGGGCAAACCATGTATGAACTATCAGGGGAGAAAGAGCATCGGTGGAGTGTCCCGTATCCATTTTCTAGAACTCACTGGGCCACTCGAATAATGATGTATCATTTGTTAGCTTTGAGAGGATGTAGAGCAAAAATGTGACGTATGGGAGGCTCAGGGAAAGAAATTGGATTGCTATGTCGGGAACATCACACCTTCTAGGGGTACTCAGCGTAAAAACCAACGACTAATGCACAAAATTCTTTAAATATATGTCCTAGGAGAGGCCAACCTGCAACCAACGCGCATGTATCAGTTCTTAGTTAACGGTGGGACGTGTAAAGAAGGGCTGTCCCAAGGGTTGTGGAGACTGAAGCAGGCTCAAATAGAATCGAAAAGTATCATTGCAGAATGTTGGCGCACACACACACACACACACACACCACACACACACACACACACACACACACACACACACACACACACACACACACACACACACACACACACACACACACACACACACACACACACACACACACACACACACACACACACACACACACACACACACACACACACACACACACACACACACACACACACACACACACACACACACACACACACACACACACACACACACACACACACACACACACACACACACACACACACACACACACACACACACACACACACACACACACACACACACACACACCACACACACACACACCACACACACCACACACACACACACACACACACACACACACACACACACACACACACACACACACACACACACACACACACACACACACACACACACACACACACACACACACACACA